TCCCCGTCGATTGTTGTTTTGTATTTTTTAATTTCTGTGTTATTTTCATCAACAGATTTTTCCTTTTCACTTTTATTTCCAACCTCATTATCTTTAATGTTTTCACTTTAAGTTAATGGCTCCATTTCGAAATCTATTTCGGAATTTTCAACTATATTGGAAATAATAGTTAAATATTCAAATGGATCAATGAACAGACCATTTTTATAATTTAACTCGACATTTTGAATTTTTTTTTCTTGTTTTTATTTCTTTGCCTTATAAATACACCTTTTTTCATGCTTTCAAATGCCAACAAATCTTCATTTTCCATTTCATAATAATGGCAAAACCATTCCAAACTCGATGGGTGTTTTTAGTAAATCTTTTTGAAAAAGATGAATTGAATAATTCAGCCATATTGTTAGTCCTGATAATATACCCAAAGTGTGACCAAAAAATCAGATAAAAATGACCAAGTATCCAAGTGGTGTAAAAATAATCGAACAATTTTTGTTCTTTGTAGTCTGTTTTGTCTTCTGTAATTCTTATTTTATAAAATGTTGATTCAACGTTGTCAACTTTAAGATAAGATAGATTCATCATCATTCAAACTTTCTTGTGGAACTCCTCATCAGTATTGTATTTATCTCCAAGACCAATTGAATGCACTTTTTTTTCCAAACAGCCTGACACAGATGAAAAAACAACAACGTACTTTACATTTTAATTTCAATAACACTTTTTTAATCTCACTTTTAAAATCGATCATACATTCGGTATTATTACTAAACAACATTTCTCCAACTAATTGTAACATATAAGAGTTGATTTTGTTGCACATTAATTTATATGTATTTTCTTTTTTGTTTATAAGCAAGCAAGAACAAAGAACAAAATGCTGATTATTGTCGTATACCCCATGAATTGTATATGTTTGGTAAAAACTTCCAGGTGTTGTAGAAAATGTTCAGTCAAGAAACAATGTTTTTGGCAAACACCCCTTCATTTTCAACAACTTATTTTTGTTGCAATGTATAACTACGATCTCGTTTCTAAAAACAAGATAATCTTCATAATGTGGATGGGAATCACAAGTGGTATCAGGAAAACATTTAGGTCTTCTCTCTTATTCTTCTTTTTGTTGTACTTAGTCTTCTTGTATCATGACTTGAATCGTATCCCGATAACAATTTTCTTGTTGGCTCAAAACGATTATTGACATCTTTAACTTTGTCATCAATCCATTTGTTTGCCAGTTCAATTTCTAATGGGTGATAAGATTGATCAGAATGAACAGTGATACCTTTTTTATATTTATAAGAAACAAATTTTGTTATATGATTAACAGTTCCTTCATATTCACAAATCACAATTTGTACTTTGCATTTTCTATCTTTACAACGATAATGAAAAGGCGATCTTCCAGTTTTATGAAAAACGTGACCATTTATAACAGGTAATATGTTGTTACCTCTTGTTGAATGTATAGACGAAATATTTGAAAATATTTCAAAGTTAAATTGAGTAAGAGTTTTAGACAACAAAAGCGGTTTCAGTTCCAAGTAATTACCAAAGTTATCAATCTGTTTATTTATTGAATTATTAAATTTTGGTGTTAAACTTTCTGGATCTGGTAATGTCAGCGTTGAAATTGTATTGTTGCTATAATTTATACAGTTGACATTTTCATTTTGTATAAAGCTTTCTTGTGTTTGTAAATTAACACAATTTACATTAATAGGAATAAACTGCACACAATTCACATATGAAGTGTTGTTAATTGAACTAAAAGGATAATTTGATAATCGTTCAAAAACATCATGGAGTGTATATGTTTGTAAAAACATAGATGAAGCATCATTCAAGTAATTCGGAAAGTTCATTTTTTTTCACAAACGTATATGAAATCACAGATAATGTTAAAATATTAATGAAAAATAACGTATTTCTTTCCAATATCAAATTTATTTTAATAATTTAACATATTATAATAACAGAATTTAACAAATTATTTATTACAGTCATGCGAAAA